GGCCGGGCCTGGGTGCCTCCCAACATAGCTGCTGCATCAGTCCACCTGCATCATATAAAGGGCCCTGGACTCCTGCATTTCCACCAACACTTGTCAGTATCCATATACTCGTTTTTGCCAGCCAGTTATAAAATGGTATCTCATTCTTTTCATTTGCATTTTCCTGATTATAATATATCTGAGTGTCTCGTGATGCTGGTCTGCCTTTGGGGTTTCCTCGCTGTTCTTATGCTTTGCTCATTTTCACTGGGATTTCTGTTTCTTTCTTTCTGACTTACAGGAGTTCCTGTTTACTTCCCTATTGGTATTAGGCATTGCAAAATATCTTCTTCTAATCTGTCAGCTGTCTGTTAACTCTGTCCATGGTTAACAGGAAATCATACTACAGACAATCCTAATTTTTATGTAATCAAATTTATCAGTATTTTGTCCCACTCTTTTTTTTTTTAATCCTTACCTGAGGATATTTTTTCCATTGCTTTTCAGAGAAAGTGGAAGGGAGGGAAGGAAGGAGGGAGGGAGGGAGGGAGAGAGAGAGAGAAACATTGATGTGAGAGAGACACATTGATTGGTTGCCTTCTGCGTGTGTCCCTGTCTGGGTCAGGGATCGAGCCTGCAACCGAGGTATGTGCCCTTGGCTGAAATCGAACCCAGGACCCTTCAGGCCAACACTCTAACCCAGGACCCTGCAGGCCAACACTCTAACCACTGAGCCAAACCAGCTAGGGCTATCCCACTCTTGAGTGACAAGATGGTCTCCTACATTGTCTTCTACTACTGTAATAATTTTATTTTTCACATTTTGTCTTTAATCTACTTCCCGATGGCTTCAGCTCTACACTTTGTTTTAGGTTGGAGTCCAGTTTTATTTTTTATCACACATGGAGTACTTTCTACTAAATAATCCTTGCTTCCCTCATTAATCTGGATGTCATTTGTATCTTATACTAAATACTCATATATACAAGTTTGTTCTGGTTGCTCTATTTTTATTTCAATAGTTCATTTAACTGTTCTTTTGTCAAACACTATTTTTATTACTATTGCTCTGAACTATGTCTTTATATTAGGAAGTGCAACTTCCACATCTTCATGATTCCTTTTCAAACTTAGCTTAGATAGCCATAAGCTTTTATTCTTATATATTTTAGAGTAGGTTTAGCATTAAGTTCCCCAGAAAATTTTATTTGTAATTTGTACTGGGATTGCATTGACTATGTAAATTAACTAAAGGATACTATATATTGAGCTCTTAGTATATTAAGTCTTTCACCCAAGAGTATGGAATGTATTTCCATTTCAAAGACTATTCTATACTTACACTAACTCATGTAATAAACACAACAACCCAAAATATGGGTACTCTTATTATCATTTTTCAGATGAGAAACCCAGAGAGATAAGTAACTTGCTCAAGAACACACAGTAACAACACAAGAAGCAGAACCTAAATTCATATAATTTACAGCCCATCCTCTTAACCACTGTACTGCCTTTCTCTCTACAGGCAGTTACTTTATATAACTTGGCTCCTATAGTGAATAGTATCTTCTTTATTACTTATTATCTGATGTATTATTTTTATTATATTTTCTAATTAGTTGTTGCAGATGTAGAGAACCTGGTTGATTTTTGTTAGTTGATATTTGTATCCAGTGAAGTTGCTGAATTTTCTTATTAGTTCTATTATTTTCTCTATTATTTCTGTTGCTTTTCTGTACATCAACTCTAAATAATAAAAATTTTGCTTTTTCCTTTCCAATTTCTAAACCTCTCATTTCCTTTTCTTTCCTTATAGCATTGGTCGAGACTTCCAATACAATGTCAGACACTGTGTAGAAGTGTCTGGGTCAAATAACGCCTCTTGTAGAAAAGTAATGTTATCCCAAAAGAAGTGTTTTGTTCACTTTAGCCACAGTGTGTGCAGCACATCAGAGAACTGTTTCACAAAAGTATAGATTAGAAACTCTGTCTGGTGTCCAAGAATACATTCTGAGCAGAGGCCTGTGATTATTTATGCCACAGAAATTACTTTTCCATAGGAGACAGCCTTCCAGGGGAGAAATAGCTCAACTGTGATAAACTTGACTTCATTCTGACTTTAAGTACATTTAACTCCATCCTAAACCCCATGGCAACAACACAGCTCTGCACCCGTCATTTGCTTCACACAATCTACTGAATATAATTGTTTCTGACAACCCATTGGTCTCTATCCCCATGGGGGAATTCACAGGCAGTAGCACTGGAAGGAGCCTTAGTGATCAACTATTGCTCTCATTTACATATATCTAAAAGTCCCTAAGGTGGGTGCCTCATCATCTTTGAGCAAATGATCTGTCTAGGGGGCCTGATGCCAACAACTGAGAGAGCTGGAATCAGACCAGGGGCTGACATAGCTTTCTCCTAATTGGCTTCACCATCCCGTCTTCGTAGAGGTTGGCCCAGCCAAGTGTTCATGGTAGCACCTCAGGGCTTACAGTGGTCTCATCTATCCCCGTCAATGGAGACCCAGAGGAGAGAGGGCGAGGAAACACCCACTCTTCCCTCCTGCGTTCCGAGAGGCTTAGCACTATCCAAGATTGGTGACTCTGCACCAGGTGGACACTGGCAGCTCCACAGTGAAGTCCTGTGCCTCGGTGCAGTGTGACCCTTCAGAAGCTGTGAGTGGGTGACCAAACACACCCCGCCCTTCCATAGACACCCAGGGTGACTAATGCTTGTGGTAGAAATGAGTGAACTAAAAAGTCCACAGGAACCTCAAACCCAGCACATCCAAAATGGAACTTCTCACTGTCTCCTCCAGACTCTCTCCCCTCTTACAGTAACCCCTGTGCAGGAACCAGAACAACCTCCATTCAACTATTCTCAGTGTCTCCTGGCCCTTACACCTGAGGAGTTACCAAGCCTTGGCCGGTCCCTGTCCTGAGAATCCCTCCCGCCCCTCTTTGTTCTCCATTCTGACTGGGGCCTTGGCCTCACCCTCCCACCTGCTCCCTCTGCTCCGCTGCTGACCCCTGGGATCCATCTCCATACTACTGCTGCAGAAATCTTTGCACCATGCAAATCAGACCATATCTCCTGCCTAAAACTCTGGAAGGCTCCCCACCACCCTTGGCAGAATGTACACTCCTTAGCATGGCATTTACTACCCTCATGGCACAGCCCCATCAGTCTGTCCAGTCCCTGACAGCAGGACCCCTAGAGAGCCACTGCCCTCTCCCCTCCCTGATTGTGCTGATCCCTGTTCCCCGCCTGGAACCTGCAGCCCATCCCACTGGAAGCCGTCTAATGCCTACTCATCCTTCCACACTCAGGCCGGGGCCTCTGCTCCTGGAAGCCTTTGCTGCTTCTTTGCCCCCATTGCTCCTGCTGAGGTGCCCTCTCCCTGGGCTTCTCCCAGGACCCTGTGCATCTATCCCACTAAATTGTCAGAGTCTCTCCTGGACTCTGTAAGAATCTGGATTCTCTAAGACAAGCAGTTATTACATAGTCAGTCTNCCCTGGGCTTCTCCCAGGACCCTGTGCATCTATCCCACTAAATTGTCAGATTCTCTCCTGGACTCTGTAAGAATCTGGATTCTCTAAGACAGCAGTTATTACATAGTCAGTTTCATCCCGTTTCATGCTTAAGATAGTACCCACCGAGTCAGATTTGACATGGGAGTGCCCCACAGGGACCTGTTCACCGCTGGGTGTCCCAGGCCTGGCACAAGGTCCGGCACATTCTTGGCACATTGTGGACCATCTGGATGAATGGACGGATGGATGGACGGACGGACCGGCGGACGAATGAACTAACGAACAAATTAATACACTGCCCACCCCACACAGAGCTCGGTGGTGGCCCCCAGCAGGGCGCGCCCTGGATATGCCAGGTGCCCAGCGGCCGCGCGGCTCGGCGCTCCGCCGGGAGGGGGCGCTG